AATTAAATTTAAACATTAAAAAAAAACAATATTCACATATTAGGTACGGAATACCATAATATTGCGTCGCGGCTTGACGCCCGAGTAGTTAGCTATTCAGCATACGAAACCTGTATCGATTACAAGTTTTGACGTTGCGCGAGTAGAATGAACGAATATTATAATTCAAATTAAATAAACGCGGAGTGACAAGCCTAGCATCCCACTGGTGACAAAGGACACTAGGGGCAGGTATTTCAACGCAGAAATACGGGCGATGTCACCCTGAAGACCGCGATGTGATGCTTCTTGTGCCCCGTAATTATTCTGGCTGTCTTGCATTTCTACCGAAACACATGTATAAAGAATTAACTCCGGGGGGGTTGTGTTATTCGACGGTAAAAATAACAAGATGGTGGTACCAACCCAGACGGCCCCTGCACAGGCGACCTCCCACCAGTCCTAGCCCCTATGAAAACTTTAAGACAATTATTGAAAATAATTTCCACAGCATCACGACTAAACTAAAAACCCTATTTCAAAATTTAGATAAAACAAATGAGGAACAAACCAATTTGATAGAACTATACGTATCATTTATTCCACTCTCTTACCTAATACATTATCCTAATACGTAACTACGTATCATAATTAAATTTAAACATTAAAAAAAAACAAAATTCACATATTAGGTACGGAATACCATAATATTGCGTCGCGCCTTGACGCCCGAGTAGTTAGCTATTCAGCATACGAAACCTGTATCGATTACAAGTTTTGACGTTGCGCGAGTAGAATAAACGAATAATATAATTCAAATAAAATAAACGCGGAGTGACAAGCCTAGCATCCCACTGGTGACAAAGGACACTAGGGGCAGGTATTTCAACGCAGAAATACGGGCGATGTCACCCTGAAGACCGCGATGTGATGCTTCTTGTGCCCCGTAATTATTCTGGCTGTCTTGCATTTCTACCGAAACACATGTATAAAGAATTAGCTCCGGGGGGGTTGTGTTGTTCGACGGTAGAAATAACAAGATGGTGGTACCAACCCAGACGGCCCCTGCACAGGCGACCTCCCACCAGTCCTAGCCCCTATGAAAAGTTTTAGACAATTATTGAAAATAAACTCTTCAACACACCACGACTAAACTATAAACAAATGACGAACAAACCAATTTGACGGAACTATACGTGTCATTTATTCCACTCTCTTATTTAGCTGACTATTCCGTTATGCTAGCACGTAACTACGTATATACAAATCTACTCATTTATTCCGTCATGATTTCTTTGGATTCTATACTTACATAATGTTAGTTTTTTTTTGTATTTTTGGTATTTTTTGTAACGAATGACTACACTAATCTAATTTAAGAATACCTATCCTAGTAGCAAGAAATGTTAAGAATGCAAACAATATACATAACATTGACTATCAGAAAAGAGAAATAGAGGTGGAGGTGGGTTTCAGCAAAAATAATGGAATATAGAAAATTAGTGTGCCATATCACACGCCCATAAAAAGTAATTTGTAAGTTTATGTAACAAATAATAACGAAAATTATTACATTCATAGAAAATAATTTTATAAAGAAAACTAACTTGCTTCCCCATACAAACTTTCATCCCCATTTTCACCCCCTTAAGGGATAATTATCGGGATAAAAAGTATCGTATGTCCTTCCCAGGGTTTCAAACTATCTTCTTACCAAATTTCATCTAAACCGGTTAAGTAGATCTAGAGATTACCCCCTACAACATCACAAGCTCACAATTCACAAACTTATAAACTTTACCTCTTTATTATATTATAATAGATAGATTGACGTATTATATATGAAAAAAATCATCATACAGAAATATCACTCAATAGGTTACGACGCGGTCGCGGTTTCATACCTACGTGTATGTCGTATTACCTCTTTAACCATTTGTCCAAATTATATGCAGTAAAATGGAAAAGTTTTTTGTTTTAAACATTTTAGACGATAAATTTACTTATTTTGATTAGAATTCATAATTGTTGTTAATATGACCAATAAACATGACCTACCGATTTAAATTATTTTTTAATATAAAAAACTGCTTATTATGACTTAAATATAAACGTTTTCGTTCGACCATTTTATCTTCGACTTAATTTGCAAATCCGACTACCATGAAAAAGTCTTTTCATTCTTCGGGTTAATATATAGCCTATGACATTCAGGAGGAACGTCTTCTATTAGTAAAATAATTTTGAAAATCGGTTCAGTAGATCCAGAGATTACCTCCTACAACGTTCAAACTCACAAACCCACAAACTCACAAACTCACAAACTTTACATCTATAATATTAGTATAGATAAAATATAAATTAAATAACAAATAACTAAATATAAAAATAACTAAATATAATAATAAATAAATAATGTTTAAAGGACGTTAGGTATACATATAGGCACACTGTGATGCGTAACAGCATGGGCATAGTTGGAGCATCGTTCCATTCTTTCATTTGAAATCATTGGGTATGCCTAGAATTTATAGTATGAAAGTAGCGCAAGTGGATTAATTAGGTGTTAAAGTTGTCATACCATCCGCCATTCAGATTTCTTTATTTAATTTAAAACAAAAACAAGACGATGACATGGAAAACCATTGAATGAACCTGAGTTATGGCACACTATGGATGCGTCACAGCATGCATAGACAAAACTGTAGCATCGTCTCGTTCTATCATTTCAAATCCTTAGAAATGTCCTCCCAAAACAAGACCTACCTTCAAAAAAAGCCACATCCTTTAAATACGATCTCAATTATACGGTGTACGTCAAAGCCTTCTTGAAAATAAATTTATAATTTTTTCACTTGTATCAGGCATGGCAGTGCCCACGCCAAGTCGAGCAAAAAAAAGCCTGTGCCTTTCCATCTTTTTCTCGAATGTAATTTATGTAAAAATTATTGTTTATGACGAATTTAACGAAAGACTTTAAGATTCACAATTTTTGTGACTTGTCATTTTGTAAAGTTATAATTAAGTTTTTTGTAGCAATTCAACAATAAAAACAAATATAATACCAAACATTTGATGAAAATCTAATATTCACGAAGACTTCAACTCGACCGATTACATTTTATAAATTTCGTTTTATAGAAACCGATTTAAATTTCGCATACACAATTTTATTTTCTTACCTAGCAATACATCGATTTCCAATACTAAATAAAAATAGGTACGAAAGTAAACAAATTGAAATTACTGGAAGAAACAAGAAGAGATCATGGAGATATAAAGACCATCATAATCGATTACTAACAACACGATTAAATAACAAAACGATTGGTATTTCCGCTGTGCTTCAATTTCGCACACGTTATCCGCTAATAATCACAGAACGACGTACGTTCTGTGATATCCCATTCGCCATTTGCAAAAGTGTATAGACTACAATAAACTGACTGGAGAGTATCTATGTATGTTTGCTACTAGAAGGAAATAAATTAATAATAATATATATTACGTAAAGAATAAAGTTCAAGTCTAGTGACTAGCTTAACGGGTCGGTCGACCGCGGCAGTGCCGGCACTTTACTAACTAATTATTACTTGAATGCTCGCGTTATTTCGTGTGTACAACTTATATCACTAATACACCTATTTAGATATTTAATTAGTAATCTTACACAAGTAGTTTGCTCATTTCAACAATCTCAACGTACCTTTTCATATTTACATTCACTTAATATTACTTAAAGTGACAGTACAATCGTCCGATCTATGACTATATTAAGGATAATAGATTATAAAAATAAACATGTATTTCTATATTAAAAAAATGTACTAAAATTGGTGACATAATGTGAATATTAAAATATGCATAATTAATAAGAATTTTACTAGAGTATTACTAGAAAAGGTAAAAACCTAAATATATAGTTCCATCATGTATCGAGCCTACTAATTAAGCACTAAACATTGAGATAATCACCGTGGTATGATGACGCGTTTACGTACTAATTATTGACGAATATATTCAAGATTTTTAGAACGTCTTTTAGTGACTTTAAAAAGCCCAGAGTAGGTTCGCTTACGACTTAGTGCATTGTAATATGTGATTATATATAGGAGCATCACACACGGGTGTGGACTATAAATAAGTACATAAAACACGTTAAAACAGCGTCTGAAACTTTTACCTAGTACAAATATAAAACGAATTGTGTAAATCTGTTTAAAATTTTATATGATAAATATATTTATTTACACAAACCATTGAACTATTTAATCAAAGGAAGACATGCTGATTCAAAATATTGACTATGAAGTATGGTTTGAGTTAAGGCGAGATGACTCCTTATTGAGCTTATAATGTACCGGTACAATATAGTCGATAGTTCAATGTTTTGTATTGGTTAAGTAAACTCTAAAGTTAGCCAAACAATGGATCGTTTATGTAGAGACATTATATATGATAAAAATTGAAATAACATGTAAATATTTCCAACTAACACGAGCAACTCCACAGCCGCGCGGCCGCGAAATGTCGTGGCCTGTGATCGTGCGTTACTCTAGCTAACATTATATACCAAGTTACTACGCTTCAATATTTGTTTACGACAATCCAGCAAGGAATTATGTAAAATCTTATAGATTATTACTTTAAAGGGGAGTGTTATCACTTTAAGGGGCAAATTATCTGGTCAACTCACACGCACAGATGCGACTTAGAGAATGAAATACATATCCTATAACTACCTATAATAAATACCTATACCTAAACCTATAAGGGCACATACATTGAATTATAATAGCAAGACTATCTACATATGTACAACACCAAAATGTAAAATCATAATATTACGAAACCTAAATTAAAGCTAACGAGTACAATTACAGAATTCGTGATACGAATTCTATAAAAGTTTTAAAAGAATTATTTTTAACAAAATTATTCTAGCTAAAGAAAATGTGAACAAACAATTTGACTAGAATTGAAGCTAACAGCCTGTAAAGTTGCAAATCAGAGACACCTCATTGCACCCAAGCCACCGGCACCCAGAGCGGCTCGGATTGCACGCGCCACGCCATTTTGTGTAGTTGAGTGATTGCAGTCGCCAAGTCTTCGTTCACGATCTCTTCGTCAAACATATAGGCGTACAAAAAGTTAATTCTATTCGATGATCTTATAATATCCGCAAACTCTTCTTCCTGTGAATTATAAAAATAAACTTATTACCGTATAATTTCATATATGGGAGAATGGATGCTATTCATATTCATGTCAAAAATTATACGAGTATGTATTATGCGCAAACATGAACTATGCAAATATGCATGTATACAAGCATGCATGGATACATGAATGCATGTATGCATATATGCGCACATACAAATTTGCATAAACATAGATACCTAGATGCATGTCAGCATGTTACAAGGACTTATGCATGGACACATGAAAGCATCTATGCAGACATGGGTGCATGGATATATGGATATACGTAAGCATGGATGCATGTTTGCATGAATGCATGTTTACATAGATGCATGTATGCATGGATGCATATGAGCATGTTTACAAGTATGCATGGAACCCATGAAGGCATCTATGCAAGCATGTATGTATACATGTATGCATGTTTGCATGTATGCATGAATGTATGCATGTATGCATGGCTGCATATATGCACGGATACATGTTTTCATGGAAGTATGTAGGCATGAATGCATGCATACATGTATATATACATGTATGTGTATCTGCATATATGCAAATAAGTGTGTTAATTATAGAATGATCTATATAAAAGTAAACTAACCGTAAAAGCCCTTGAGGACTCCTTGTCAAAAGTCGAGCGAGCATTAGCAGCAGTCCTAGTTTCAATGAGTCTTTCTAATGGTGGTGGTTTTATAAATACGATATGAGGTTTTAGGCGCGGCGTTCGTAACATCTTTAAGGCTTGCCAGTGGGGGCTTAAAATACACACACGCCCTGTAAAAAAGGGGCTTTAGTAATAATTGTTTTTTTTAATAATTACAAAAATATAATAACTATAATATTCAAAAGTAAGAACATTATTAAAAACAATAATATTTATTGTTGTAGTAAACGTCTACTAGTTGACTGTATCATATTCGCGATGCCTATTTCTCTATAAAGTCATGCGACAGCGCAGTGTATAGCGACGATCAATAAAATGCGCAATGCTAGTTATGGAAGCATTACATCCCAAAGTAAAGCGCATGTGTAATGGTGCAGAGCCTCGCATGCGCGTTTCAATCTCAACTGCAAGTGCAGTGCCCATCTCGACATGCGCAGTTAATATATCAAATACATCTGCATAGAGGTGGGGAGTCGTTACAGGTGAGGAGGCGTGGTTCCGATAATGGACCACTATCGCCTTTGAAGACAAATATAAAAAAATATATCAAAAATAGTTAAATTAAATATGATAAATATCCATTATTTAATGATGACGTGCAAATTCTGCGTTGTCACTAATATTTTTATCATTATAAGACGTGCTGTCTTTTCCCTCCCCTCTTTCCCTGAATATTGGAGTGTGACAACGAATGTGTGAATTATTTGAAAATATGCACTTTGAACGGATACAAGGTCCATAGAAAAAAAATACATTTCGTCGCGATGCACTTCGCTAAGCAAATTCTATGTTTTAGTTGAAAAGGGGGAATTATACGCGGTAATATTACTTAAAATATATACATTACTTAATATACAAAATATATAAATAATATTTTTACCATCATAATTATATATTAAAAAAATATAAGTTTATTAAAAATACTTACCTGAAGTTACAATAGTTTCCACACTTTCCGCTGAAGTCCCGTACAGATTTCCTTTATATTCCCCGTGCTCTATGAACTTGCCTTCAGATATATCTTCTTCCATTTTTTCACGCGTCACAAATACATATTCTTTTCCATTTTGTTCACTAGGTTTTTGTGCACGAGATGTATCTGATTAGCAAAATCATTGAAATTATTAAAATTTAAAAAAACACTTTAAGCATATAAAATAAATAAATAGAAGAAAAGAAAGCACGACCAAACCGAAAGAGAACTGAACTAAAAATGAGCCCTGGGAGGCTTGACGACGGTCACTTTAGAGTTCGCGCCTGCGCTGTGCTATAGATAGTTCTAGAAACCGGGGTGGCTGGGTGGGGTTTGTGCGCAATAAGGCTGTGGAGATAGGTAAGGGTTTATTGATTTCCAAAAGGAGTGAGCATACTAAATGTCAAGGGTTAAATTTTCCAATTTAATTCTAAAGGTTAAAGGAGTAACCTTGAATATTTTTCTTGAAATTTTCATGGCTTCACAAGCCTTACGGCTGATAAGCCTTCTTATACCTAACATAGACATAAATATAACATTGTTTATAATTATCAAGAATGCAGAACTTTTAATTTTAGGAAACTGTACATGAAAGCTTTATAAAACTGATAATTTTATTATATACTAGTAGAAAATAGACACTATTCCAGATGATATAAACTATCATCGATCACAAGCTGAAAATAAAAATTAAAGATAAAGCACCTAAAAATATGTGCGATAGCTCATTGGATCCGGAAAGACGTTTAAACCATTTTCCAGCACATAAAATGTTGTAAAAATTATAAACAAAGAAATATGAAAAAAAGTACTTAGTTGTTCGCTAATAATCCAAAGACTATTAATAATGAAGAAATAAAAAAAGATCCTAAAAGAGGAGGAAATTTCCAATGAAAAAGTCCTTTTCCCGGAATTTTACCTTTATTATTTATAATTTTAATTTAACGCTGAAAATAGGGCTCCAAGCAGCCGTTGAGGTGTGTGCGCGCCGCTTCTTATGCGTAAAGTACAATAATTTTATTACAGTATTAAATATAAATATCAATTTAAAAATTTGAATAAACTATTGTGTATGGTAATCATTTCAAAGTTACGTTGGAAAAAGTTTTTAAGTTAATTTTTCGAAAAGTAAGGTGATTGTTAATTAACAAAATTTTGTCGGACCTTCGTTGTCTTACAGACAACAAAAAATGTATATAATTTTAATAATTGGACTATAAATTCGCTTCTTGGAGCCCTTTTTATATACTTAACATTTTTAAAATATCAATATTTTGCTTATTGTAGTAGTAGTGATAGTATAAGTTAACAAAGAACTAAATATTCCAAAAATCTTGTTGTTCTAATAATTCAAATGTCCTTGCAAAGTCCTTGCCGCACCTAGGTGTGGAAATATCAGATCATAAAATCAATAATTGCATAAGTTGCTATCTCTTTCACTGCCTCCCCTAGCACCCTAGGTCATCTAGATGTTAGACATGCGCAAATAGTTAATAGCCCGGGCAAAGCAAAGCTGCCTTGCCGCCATTTTGTGTTCCTAATTAATTATAATTAGGGATTAATAATTATTATTTTAAACAGATCTGAAATAGGTACAGACTACTATTTAATATGATACTAAATATCTATCTATAAAATGAATGAATACTATTATTTTATTAAACACTAGCGACTCACCCTCGCTTCGCGCGGGTTCGTCCCTAGGTAGGTACGTTTTAACGGTTAGTGTGAAATACAAATCTTTGAATTTCTCGGCTTTTCTGTACTATAATATGCGTGTATTATACACATAAATTTTCCTCTTGAATCACTCTATTGAGTCGTACTATTCGTATAAAATCCGTTTAGTAGTTTAAAAGATCTAAGCGAACAGACAGCGGAAGCGATTTCATTTTATACTATGTAAAGATTCGGTCACGCTATTGACGTTTCAAACAAAGATAAATACGAAAGTGTTTCAATGTTTGTTTCTTATTTTTCACGGTCAACCCCTTGAACCCACCGCTATAAAATTTGTCACAGGGAGCTCGGTTCAGACAGATATGAGCACTTTATATCCGGGGTTAAAAAAGGGTGTCCCCGGGTATAGAAGTGCGAATTTTCTTAATGGGTTTTAATGTAAATTGGCATGATTATTATACTAAACATATACCTCAAGGTATTTTTTATTCAGAAAAATGCAGAATATCTGTATGATAGAGGAAGAAAGTATAAATATTCTAAAAAATTCTAGTGAAATGCATGATTATTTCTTAATGCTTGGTTTCTTAATCAGAATGTTTTATATAGAATAAAAATATAGCATCCTCGTGGAGCAAGGACGTCTGCAATATTTTTTATATGTAAAAGAAATAGAAATATAGGATACAAGATAAATAGGTATTTTTAATAAGTTAGTGTTAGTTAAGCAGGGTTCAATGCTTCCACCAGCCGCAAACGTGCCCGGCAATACAGCCGGGCGCGAAGCCAAGAAACGCACAGGGAGGTGGCCCACTTCGGTGGGCGGTGGGAGGTGGCCCTCTTCGGAGGGCGGTGCAGCATGCGGGTTGCTCCTGGTACTTCTCTGATAGCAGAGTGGACCTTGGAGCACCCCCGTGGTTGTTGTGGTCTACTTCGGCAGACCTGCCTTCAGGGCGTCGTAGTTGAATGCGTAAGTGATCCTGCGACGCCCCATTAAGACGGGGGAGGTTTTGTTGGGTTTCAGTGGCTAGCACTGGTCAGGGTACCCGTTGAGTCCCACATAAATAAACACCTATATATATATACAAATGGTATGCGTAAATGCATTTCCCAACATTAAAAAAAAATCGTTTCGAATTCGATACGTTGCGCAGATAAAGCCAAACAAAACATCAACGGAACCCGAAATTTAATATCAATTATTGTTTAAAACCCCAAAATAATACTTTTAACACTTTGTTAGTCTATTATTTTTTGGGTGAGGTAAGGATAAGGCTTAACGCATACGCGTAATAATGATTTACTTATAAGTCACTAAAATTTAGCCCGACACACAATGAATTCGTTTCGATTTATTTAACTAAGTTTAATGTAAAATCCATTTTAACATCGAAGTACTTAGTCCGATACAACGTGGGAATAGTCGTTATAAAGCAAGTATAGGGAAGGTCGAAATCCTAGATAAAAGATAAAACATCTATACAATATGTAAGAAAACTCTAACTGTATTTTTTGAAAAATCTTATTGAAATAGTCATAGATACAGAGGCCGAATCTATAGTTTTTAGAATTTTTGTTTGTCTGTATGTCTGACTATGACAATATATGACAATATGCCAAAAAATGCCTTTTAGAATATCATCATATATTTATTTTTTATTTAAGACGTATATAATTGAGACATTCTTTAAATTTTTTCACTATAACGCAACTATAAGGCGTCACAAGGTTTGCATTTTAACTGTTTAACCTTTAGCATTTGCCAACAGGTATAAAGGAAAGGATGTAAAATCAATAACTCATAACAATCTGTCCTGCTCACGGGCGTTGCCTAAGTTACCTGGGCTCAAAGCATGCGCGCTGCTGCAATGCGTGCAACAGATACATACGTAGGCGTAAAACGTTGGTGATTTGAACTTTGACATATTCCATATAACAAAAACGCCGAGCGAATCTCGGTTGCCCAAGTACTTAATAATTAAGACGATCATATTTGTTATCAAGATTAACTGGTTTTATTTTACATTTATAATTTATGTACAATAATACCTCCTCATTGTTAAAGAGGCGAAGCGTGGCCCCTAACAATAAAAATCAATAAATGCATCATGCGCTATCTCTTTCAGGACATGCGTTTGTGGTTCCAACCTTTGGACAAGGTCAATTAAGTACTTATTATCATATTAGTTTAATATTTTTAGTCCCAGAAAACACATGTCCCCTTATAAAAAATATGAGATATTTAATTATAAATACGTGTATAACAAACAAAAAGTATCAAATAAAAAGAGATAAATTATTTATGACTTGACGTGAAATTCAGATAATTTGGAAAGTTCTTACTAAGGTCTATTGTAAGTACCTAGATAAAATTAAAATGTATAACCTTCATTTTATATAATTTATTTTTAATGTATATATATATATATTTATATTAATTATAAAGAGTTGACAGATTGACGTTCAGTTGTTCAATTTCTTTAACATGACAACCTTATTTAAAAAAGAAATTGACAGTTTTTTCAAAATGTAAGATAATTATATTTATCTATACCTACTAATTAGTCCAGTCAAATAAAATCAAAATATTTTATTCAGCATTAAATTATTACAATTTTGTATTTTTTTTTGAATAGAATAATCTTCAATTTTGAAGGGTAAGTCAGACTATCGAAAACTACTTCTAAACAATTACCAACTACACTTTACAAAAAAAAAGAATTAATAAACTGCCAGGAAGATGGGCTTAGAGTATACATAAGCTATAGAGTGCGAGCTAGCAAGTATGAACTGTAAGCACGGGTATGAACAGTCTCGAAACAGCCCTTGCGGGCGACGCTATCAGTCACGAAAAGTCAATCGCACTGGCTGTTTCTCTCGTCAGTATTTATTTGATTTTATGTAATCATGGTGAAATGTACAGTTCCAAGCTGTAAAAATGATTCCCGAAAGCAAACAAAAACGAACAAAGATATTTCTTTCCATCGGTAAATAATATTTTAATCAGAAAACGCTGACTTTAACAAAATTACACAGGCGTGAGCGGGTGTTGCGGGAGGCGCGCGGGCGGGTCGACACAACACGTGCTTCCGCGTACCCCGCTTCTCGCTTTCCCTCATTAACAGCTAGTGTTGCACCACGTTGTACTACTCGAGTATTTTTTATAACCATAGTATTATAAATTAAGATCCTTTGTATTTGTCAAAAATAAAACCTTTAAATTTTAAAGGCACCAAAGTACCTTACAATATTACATAATTTTAAACATTTTTATCATTTTAATAAGTTTTATAATTGCATAGAATATTATTTATTTCATTTTAGCTGTGATTTTTATAATATAATTATTACAATATTTTTAGAAAACTTTATTATTTAGTGTTGTCATTATTATATTTATAAACATAAAAAAAATATTCAAGCCACATTATTGTTCTATGTGAAAT